AAATAACTGAGACATTCATAAAGATTTACCTATGTTCATTTTGGTTCCTTGTGTTGTAACTGTGATGAAGTTTAGCTTTAGTTATTCATTGACTTTTGTCAATGTTCACTTTAACATATTGAAAGGAAGTTATGTAATAATTGGCTAGTGAATAGTGGTCAGGTGAAGATTACTATTCACTTGATAGCTATTAACAATAGAATGATTAAAAGTTGTAACAATTTCTAATTGATAATTGCGAAAGTAAGTGATACTAAGTGAATTTAAGCTTCACCCCATTGCACAAGTAAGTGGCTATCAGGACTCAGTAACTGAGTGGATAATGCGATGGCGTTTGAAGCGAAAGGTACTGGGTTCTAGTCCCGGAGTGAACATCAACTCTGAGATGTATGTATATCCAGCTGATGAGTTCCAAATAGGACGAAGTGTCGCGCGTCCTGGATTCCACTGCTGGCCACTATCCATCTTTGATTACAATAATTAGAAAGGAGTATAAATAATAAAGTATAAAAAACGAAATGATAGATTATGAAAGGTCGAAAAGTAGGTTAAAACCATGGAAGAATGAGGGACTGAACATCCTACTTTAGTACCTAAAGTTAAGGCTTGAGCTAATAGATAGCAATAGCCTCTATTGTACATAAGTTTTTCATTTGTATTTCTATTGAGTTAACTCTTCTGACTGTCTGTATGATTTTGAAGGAGGCTTCTGAAGAAGCAGAGTAACTAGAATAAAGGAGGTGCTTCAAAATTAAACTTTTGATTGACTTCTATCATACTTTGGAAAGTCGAAAAGGAAATTTTCCTAATTAAGTTGACTTCTTTCTTTCTTTCTTTAGTGACACAACAGACCTCTTTTACTGTTGATTACTATGAATTGTCTTGTATTTATCAACTTCAACAATTTTCTTTATCGAAATTTTTCACTTACTATTCTAATTGTATTCATATTTGTGGTAATGCAATTCAAATAGTCTTTCTATGATTCTTGGATAGGGAATTCTTTGAGAAATACAATCTCTTTCCAAATAATAATATCTGTTTACGGTACCATCTGATTAATTCAGAGGGAAATATTTGAAGTTTTCAAGTTCTAAAAGGGTCATGTGTTATTGGAGTTACATATATCTTGCATATGATCTACCAATCACACTGTCACAGATATATTACCCTATCATTTATCAAACAATACTTGATCCGAGATTCAGCAGTGTACATCCACGAACCCACATGTGGATGCGCACTGTTGAGGAGTCCCATACTAGGAAGAATTGGTCATCCAGTACTTCCAGGTTTTCAGTGGTGGTCTAACTTAAATCGACTCATAAAACCAACCATTGAAATTACTACAATCTCCACAAATCCGCAGACTTGAAAGCTGAAAACCAATTAAATGAATCATTTCAATATCCAATATTGAATAGATTCCATTCTTCATTGAAAGTGGATAGATTTCATAAGCTGAAAATATGTACACGTAAAATGTCCACATTTTAAGGATTAACCTACATTTATGAAACGTGGAAAACTGCTACAACCATCATCGAAAACGTACAATTATTTATAAACAGTTGTCTACACAAGATACTCAATATCCATTCACCAAAGATCATCAGAAACAGCTTACTGTGGGAGAGAACAAGCCAACTTCGAGCTGAGAAGGAAATTAGGATAAGATGTTCGGGGTGGATATGACATATATTACGGAAAAAATCGAACAGCCTCACGAGACAAGCGTTAAATTGGAATCGTAAAGGGAACTGGAAAAGAGTAATTCTGAAGAACATACTACATCGGGAATCGTGAGCAAACATTGAAAAGGATGAATTATGACTGGAAATAAGTGGAAAGCATTGTTCAAGACAGAGTTGTATGCAGAGTGGTGGTGAGCGGCTTATGCTCCTTTATGAGGTGTAACAGGCATAAGTAAGTAAGTAACTTTAATAAGTCGAAACTCTGGTCTCAAGTTATTAATCCAAATCAAGAGTATGTACTATATATTACACCATGTAAAATAATTCCTGATTATTAAGTATCAGTGAAAAATTATACACAACTGTAATGCCTTCTCGTGGCGGGGGTGTTGTTTACGAAAGTGAGAGGACGAAAAGAGAATGTCCGGCGCTTTAACCGGGTTAGTGGACACGTTGAGTCCACCTAGGGGAGTTGGAAAACCCTGATTCCAAACCAATGGTGCACATGGGCTCCAGTATCCTGATGGAACGAATGGCGGACGAACCTGTCATTGGTCAACGGCTACCATGGGACTGCATCTCCTCACGATGCTCCACTGCCTTGTGGATCAGACCTTTTGGTCAAAGGCTCGGGGTGTGGCCCCCTAAGAAAACCACCTGCTTCGGTTTGGGCACCCGGGCAGTATCACAGCCCACACACACAAATAGTGTGGCGCATATGTACCTGGTGCCCTTTTGTAACAAAAAAAATGTGTTTAAATAAATAAATAAAAAATCCTATTGATAAAGAGATATATATAAATTTGATGATTACGTAATTCAATGTTAACTACATTAGGGAATGATAGATGTTAGTACAATCTAATATAGTACTTGTGCTTATGCAGTCTTTTAATGAAAATGATAATATCTTGCTACATTAGTTCACTTCTAATCACACTTTATGTATTGACATTGCAATCAAAAACCTCAGTGATGATGATTTATTTCAATCAGAACAAATTAAAGGAAAAAAAGACATGCTCTTCTATAGGCCATCTTAACCTTATTTACTTACTTACTTACTTACTTACGCTTGTTACCCGCAATGAACCATAGGCTACCAATCAGCATTCTCAAACCCACTCTATCCTAGGCCTTCCTTTCTAATTTTATCCAACTTTTGTTCATTCTTCTCATGTCTATCTCCATTTCTCGTCGTAACGTGTTCTTTGGTCTTCCTCTTCTTCTTTGGCCGTGATGATTCCATGTGAGGGCTTGTCTTGTATCGTTGTTCAGTGACTTCCTCAATGTGTGTCCTATCCACTTCCAGCGCTTCTTCCTGATTTCTTTCTCCGCTGAAATCTGGTTTGCTCTCTTCCACAGTAGAATGTCGCTGATAGTGTCTGCCCAACAGATCCGAAGTATTTTACGTAGGCGACTGTTGATAACCACCTGTATCTTCTGGATGATGGCTTTCATAGTTCTCCAGGTTTACGCCCATATAGTAGAAGTGTCTTGACATTTGTATTGAAAATTCTGATCATGGTGTTGGTTGAAAATTGTTTTGAATTCCAGATATTCTTCAGTTGTAACTACGCTCCTCTTGCTTTGACGATCCGCGCCTTCACATCTGCACCAGATCCACCGAGGCCATCCTAACCATTATTTTGTACATGTTTACATTACTGTTGATACTTAAGTAATTTACATCAATACGGTGTACAAAATATAGTCTGTAATACAGAATAAAATTAATCTGTGGAATTCGCCTTAATACTTACTTACTTACGCCTATTGCTCCCAATGAAGCATAGGCCGCCGACCAACATTGCCTTAATACTATTATATCCAAATGCATATACATGATTTGATGAACAGAGACATAACTGATTGGAGTATAACTGAAATGCATAAGTTATTCCTATACCACCATCTACGAGGAATAATCACATCTTAATAATTATTAATTATGCAATTCATTAAATTATTTATATTAGTTGGTTATAGCCATTCAATTCTACATGTTCATATACAAGGTTACTCATTGATTAGTGTAAAGTAATACTCAGTTTAACATGTATATATTTGTTCATTAACGATTTCAAATACATCCTCATCTACCATCTTCATCTACCAAACCATCCAGCTCAGAGAACAAACCTACATCAAAATCACCTACCATCTTCATGTACTTGCTTGAATCATCCAATTTACGGTTACTATGATTATTAAGATCTTCTCAGTATTAACAGTATATATGACAACTTTCTAGGAATTTATTTAATAAGTGACTGGTTGCACACTAATTACTACTCATTATCTACTTCCAATTTTTATTACAGTTTTTTTATTATTTATCTTAACCCTTTTAACTATGAAATTAAAAGGTTTGTAATTATTAAACGTTGTTATTATCTTTAAATTACGCCTGTAGCTCCTCCGAGAGCTACTGCCGGTCTCAAGCCCGGATAAAGGAAGAGGGTTGCATATGGGATTAGCTTCCCTATCCCATAGAAAACCAACTCGCTAAAAAAACGCTTACCAGAAAGAATTATTATCTTTAACAAACAGATTTATTAATATCACCAACTGATCAAAGTTAAATAACCATTTAAAACCTGAAGGTATTGGATAAATCATTCCATGGTAGTATGAAACTTCTGAGAACTGCATATCCACGAACTTATAATTGTGAGTCACAGTTAACACTTTCGATCTCGTGAACGAACATTTAATCTCTAGACTATTGAGCTACCATTTAATAGTGTACAAGTTTACTTACTTACTTACTCCTGTTACCCCTCGTGGAGGAGCATAGGCTTCCATTAATTCACAATTAATAATCGATCATCTTTGATTACCTCCTGTGGGTAACTTCCTCAGACTCAAATATTCAATATTCAATAAACAAACAGTCCAGAATTAGAATTTTTCACTTATAATGTATATTTAAACATAATTTTAAATAATCACTCTCTTGTTATTGAATAATTAAAATTATTACTTCTCTTTTTTTGGTTTGTTTTAACTCATAGTTGAAATTATGAGTCAATTGAAGCTAGACCACCATGGAAAACTTGAAAGCGCTGGACAGCCGTTTCATCTTATTATGAGACTCCTCATCAGTGGGATGAAATGGGACGAAACGGCCGTCCAATGCTTCCAGGTTTTCCATGGTTGTCTAACTTCAATTGACTCATGATTTCAACTATGAAAATACTAAATTCTCCACAAAATCCCCTTCTGTTTTAACTCACTCAAATCAAGTTAGTAACCTCTAAATAATCGAAAGGATATAAAAACTTACATTTTTAAAATAATTTTTTTTAAAAAAAAAAAATACATTTTTAAAAATTTTTTTTGTAATGATTGCATTTCATCGATCAATATATTTTTTCATTTTTTCATTTTTTTAATATTGAAAATTATATTTTTGAAGGTCAATCAAAACAACAACAAAAACTGTAGAATGACATAAATTATTTTACAAAAATCATTTGTTGATCATTATCATTTCCATCTTGATCATTATTATGAGCGATAAAAGATGCTGCTGCTGCTGCTGCTGAGGATGACGACGATGCAGCACGACGATATGAATAAGGTAATGAATTCGATTTAAAATTATTCATATTACTTAGCAACTGATCATTATTATTATTATTATTATTAGTAGTAGTAGTAGTAGTATCCATATTGATTTCTTTATTATTTTTTATAAATTCACATGCAATTCCATAATAATTATCAGGACATATACAATAACATTTTTTCCATGGCATATCAGGTTTTTCTAATTTACCATAATTTAAACAATATGGTACACATTGTCTTATTAAATAATGTATAATTTTAAATAATTTTTTATGTTGTTTAGGATAAATTAATAAATCATTAATTGTAGTACAATTAATTGATTGAATATTGATTATTGATATATAATAAATTACTACTAATGATAGTAATATAATAACTGTATTATGATTTCTTATCATTTCTAATAGTTTGAATGGTTTAATCACTAAGGTAAAGTTTACTTGGATATAATTCTATGATAATGAGTAATAATAAGGATGATTAGGGCATAGTTACTAATGTATCGAAAATTAGAATATCTTTTTTCAAATTTTTGGATAAGTTGAATATTTATACTAAGTTTTGTTTTGTTTGTTTGTTTTTTTCCTTTATATAAATGGGGAAGTATTCATAATGATAATCATTCTATTGGTTCAATGGATGATTATTATGATTGAACATAGAATATTATTATTATTATTATTATTATTATTATTATTTAGGGAAGGGAATATAGTTTCAGATGTTTTTTCACCTAACTGATAAAAAAAACAGTAAATAATAATAATGAATACCAAAATATTATTTTCATGGTGATTACAAACTTTATTTTTATTATTCGTTTTATTAAATAATTTTTACGAGGTGGGATCGTTGATGAGTACTGACGAGGAGTTCCATACTGAGATGAAACGTCTGTACAGTGCTTCTACGTTTTCTGTGATGGTCTAGCTTTAATTGATTCATGATTTCAATTATAAAAAATTGCTAAAAATAAAACTTCAGCATTTCATGTGAGTGTCTGTCTTGTGACGCAGTTAGGTGATATGGCCGTTCGGTGCTTCTAGATTTTCTATATCTCCACAAACCCCCTTCTGAATATAGCTTCATATTTTTCATCTAATAAAAACAGTAAATAATAGTAATAATAACAATAAATACCGAAATATTATTTTCATGGTGATTACAAACTTTATTTTTATTATTCGATTTATTAAATAATTTCCTCGAGGTGGAGAAGATTTATAGCTCAGGTGGGTGATTTTGATGTTTGTTTGTTTGGTTGTGAAGATTTCATTGTCCTTCTGAACGACATCATCAGCACAAATTTCGGGTAAAAGTGAAATGTTTGAATTTCTCCACATGTGGTTCCCAACTTGTCCTGTGCACCTCGATGTTGATTGGTTCTTATTAACTGCGAGACGGGATCGTGGATGTGTACTGATGAGGAGTCTCATACTGAGACGAAATGGCGGTCAAATGCTTCTACGTTTTCGACGGTAGTCTAACTTCAATTGATTCATGAGTTCAACTATAAAAAAATTACTAAAAAATTATCAAGATTCCATATGAGGGCTTGTCTTCTGACGCAGTTGAGTGTTGTGGCCGTCCGGTGCCTCTAGGTTTTCTATATCTCCATAAGCCCCCTTCTGAATATAGTCTCACACGTTTTTCACCTAATTAAAAAAACAGTAAATAATAGTAATAATAATAAATACCGAAATATTATTATCATGGTGATTATAAACTTTATTTTTATTATTCGTTTTATTAAATAATTTCCGCGAGACGGGATCACGGATGAGCACTGATGAGGAGTCCCACAATAGGACGAAATGGTAGTCTAGTGCTTCTACGTTTTTCATAATAGTCTAGCTTCAATTGATTCATCAATTCAACTATAAAAAATTACTAAAAAAATCTTTCATAACACCCCTTCTGAATATAGTTTCCTATGTTTTTCATCTAATAAAAAAGAAGCAGTAAATATTAGTAATAATAATAAATGCCTATATATATTGATATTAAGATAAGTCTAGTATTTTGGGTTGAGTAAATTTATTAAATTTCTTTTTTTATATTAGACTGTAATGATAAATTGTAATGATTATTGTTGCTGAGTTGTTTCTCTTTTTTCTGTTGTTTTTGTTGTTGTTGTTGTGGGAATACATTGTAGACAATCACAGTCTGGATTATTGTTTATTTGGTATTGATTTATATTAAGTGTCTCTTTTTTCAAATATATATTAGAATGAGAATTTGTGGAGATTATAGTAATTTTAATAGATGAATTCATTAGTTGATCGTGGATGTATACTGTTGAGGAATCCTATACTGACATGAAACCACTGCCGAATGCCAGCCAATCGGTCTAGAGATGAGGCGTTCGAGTGCGAGCTCTATGATCCTGGGTTCGAATTCCTGTGGAAATATTGTGAACACATACTGATTAAGAGTTCCACAACAAGACGAAATGCTCTTCCATTACATATGTATTTTAAATAGTGACCTTGTATAGTTCATTTCTTCATTTAAAAGATAAGAAATATATTTCTGGACATCTAAATGCGTCAAATAAACGATCCATTCAAATTAAAATCAACTAAAGCATTCCAGAATCTGTCTTGCGAAATCATAACTAATAAAAGCACATAGTACAGTCGAACAGCCATGTTTTTGATAGCAATCAACCAAGAGACTTACTTACATACTTATGCCTGGTACACCTCGTCGAGGAGAATAGGCCGCTCACCATCACTGTACGTACAACTCTATCCTAGACAATGCTTTCCATTTATTTCCAGTCGATATTCATCCTTTTTCTCAGTTCTCTTCAGCATTGCAACTTAGCGCTTGTCTTGTGATGCAGTTTGATGATTTCCGTAATGTATGTCATATCCACCCCGAACATCTTATCCTAATTTCCTTCTCAGCTCGAAGTTGGCTTGTTCTCTCCCACAGTAAGCTGTTTCTGATGATATTTGGTGAATGGATATTGAGTATCTTGTGTAGACAACTGTTTATAAATACTTGTACGTTTTTGATGATGGTTGTGGTAGTTCTCCACGTTTCAGCTCCGTACAGTAGAACTGTCTTAATGTTCGTATTGAAGATTGTGACTTTGGTGTTGGTTGACAGTTGTTTTTAGTTCAACATGTTCTTCAGTTGTAAGAATATGGTACTTTCTTTGGCAATCCTCACCTTTACATTTGAATCGGATCCTTCGTCGAACATACCACGTTGTAAACACCGATTCTTGTCCTATCACCACAGTTAAGTAACGTTGGACCCGGTCAGTACCATGGATCTCAAAGAAGGAAATAATAAAAAGGTTAAATTTTGAGCTGATGGTTCATTGGTTTTCCAATTTTATTTTTACCTATAAATACTTATTCAGTAAGACAATGAATTTAAGGGTAATCTCATTCATAAATGGATATAATCTGAAGAATTATTCAGTATAGATAGTAGTAATCTGGAAATGTCAACAGTTGATAATCATTTAGATCATACAAAATATATACTTATAACATTTCATATCACATTTTAAGCATATTACCATAATAGGACGACACGGCCGTCCAGTACTGCCAGGTTTTCCATGGTGGTCTAGCTTCAATTGATTAATGATCTCAACTATTAAAATTACTATAATATCCACAAAAGCCCTTCTGAAAATATTACTGAATTACTAAGTGAGATTCTAAATGTAACCTTTTTCCTATATCAAATAATATTTGGATTGATATTGAATAATTATCTTTGCTTATTGAACATGTCATTCACATAGGGTTATTATTGAAATTTGGTGAAATTTTGATATCGAGCTAATAACAAGTTTCAGATGAACTTCTAGCAAACGCGGTTGACAGTGACTATGTTTGGTTATCTATATCTGAAATATGCTCTCACATCGTCACGCGTATATAGCCTCTGACAGAGAATTCCTACTCGTTGCTTTCTCTTGGCATTACTGTTGTTTACGAAATTGAGAGGACAAAAAGAGAATGTTCGACGCTTTAAGCGGGTTGATGGACACGGCGATTTCACCTAGGGGAGTTGGAAAACCCTGATTCCAAACCCATTGTGTACATGGGCTCCAGTATCCCGAGGGAACAAATGGCGTATGAATTAATCGTTGGTCACCGGCTACCATGAGACTACATGTCCTTACGATGCTTCACTGTCTTGTGGATCAGACCTCTAGATCGAAGGTCCCGGGTGTGGCCCCCTAAGAAAACCACCTGTTTCGGTTTGTGCACCTGGGCAGCATCACAGCCCTAACACAAATCAAATGAAATTTGTGTGGCGCATATCTATTTGGTGCCCCTTTGTACCAATGTTTATGTGTTTAAATAAATAAATAGATATCTGAAATATCCATCAACTGATTAAATCAAAGAAACATTACTAATATTTCATTTAATCAGTCAAATAACATAAGAAATCTACGGTGAAGGAGTGACGCAAGATATTATGTCACTATACCATCAAAATGATTGTTAACTAGTTAGATCAGAAGTTGACCGAGGTAAAAGAAGCAATCGAACATATTTCACATGCTATAATTTGTAATTTGGAGAATTCGGAGTGGGTTGGAGAATGCTGGTCGGCGGCCTATGCTCCATTAAGAGTAACAGGTGTAAATAAGTAAGTAAGTATAATTTGTAATAATATATCTTACCTTAAACCTGGTTACTTTTTAGATCATTCATTTAGATGTGTAATTGTAGAACATGGAGAAAGTTGATCTGAAAGAAACCGCGATCTAACAAACTAAAGGTGGGGTCACGTTTTTCTCATCGAGTGGTCGGTTAAGTGTTCTGGTGCGAGACTGGTAAGTCCTGGGTTCGAATCTCACGAGGCGAGGTCGTGGATACGCACTGCTGAGGAGTTCCACAATAGGACGAAACGACCGTTCAGTGCTTCCAGGTTTTCCTTGGTTGTCTAGCTTCAATTAATTCACGCTTTCAATTATGAATATATTTTATTAGAGATCGTTTAAGTGATTATTTGTTGTAATGTTAGATGGAGATATACAAGCAAATCAAGAGTGCCAATGATCCGTATAAAGTGTAGAAATTACTTGGGAATAATAAGGCATATATATTAGTAATTAATAGGTCAAACATAAGGTTATGATAAACAGAATATAGAAACCCAATAGTTCAGTTATTTAGTAACTATACAATATAGAAAAATAATTCATATAGTTGTTACATAAGAGGTATTATTTCTTTAAATTTCATTCTAGGTACATTATAGGTTGATTCTTAATAACAATCACATTGCATAATTTTTATATTGATTGCTTGAAAGCCCTATTAAATATATGAACGTGATAAGACCGCCAATTGGAGAGCTGCGAATTATCAATCAGACCGGTGATACACGAAAAATCGTATGAGTAGTCTTGAGTACTTAATTAGTTCCGTTTTCTGCCTAGCTTAGCCAGTTAAGTCCAGAACACCAATAACAGTCTCTGTAATATGAATCATTATTCTCAAACATACTGGGTTTTTATATCGAACAAACTGACCACATCATACCATAAATTGAACATAATAT